CGGGAAATGCAAATGCATTACCATTTCTACGGAACAAGTCGCCACATGTTCCAACCCCCAACCTGGAGGGCCAGGAGACTGTGTTCGTCAGACCTCTAACCATTGACCAACCTGGTGTGGGAGACTGTGAGTGTCGCGGGACACTCTCCAGTATGGCTCAATGGATCGCTGATGTGCGCAAACCGTCACACCACGGTAAGGTCCAGTCGCTTCGTGACGGGCTGTTTTTAATGAATTGAACTAAATGTTAAGCCGTAACACCTTTCTTGGTGCCTAGCTGCCATGCCACACAAAGGAAGCACGAAGGCAGTAGAGCATCACTGTCAGCACTGATGTCGCTGTCTTATGATGATAGTGATGGTTTGGCCAGTGGGTCAGCCTGTGGAGTCAGCCCAAGGGTTGGGACTGATATGGGATATCCCTTCCTAACTCCGGGCTACTCTGAAGGACTCATGCTGAGTTCTACCATGTTGATGGGAACTAGCAGACATAATCCTTTTTGTTGGGTTCTGTGAACGCAGGTAACCTGGCGGAATCTGTGCAACAATAAACTGCACAAACAAGACCAGGCTCATGCCACATCGAATATCATGTGGCCAGCGGTCACTACCTGCTATTTATTAGTTTTTTATTGCCTGGAGTGGTTAACCACTATTAATGCTAGGTAACTTTATCACATTGTTTGACAAGTCCGCTTTTGTTTTCAGATGGAATACCATCCAGTTGATTTCGATATCGATGACTTCCTAGCGCGAACTCAGGGAAATAAGCCTCCGTTCATATGTCCGGCAGAGACATGTCAGAAAGTACACAAGTCATTTGCGCACATCCAAAAACACATGCTTATACATCGTCCTCCGGCGCCCATAGATATACCGGCCTCGCCGTCAGATTTGATGCAGTCTACAACTGCACCACACGGACTATCTGCATCCCCTTCCAATGGGTATTCTCTGACCCATCGGGGTGTTAGGAATAGTTCCGATGATTCTCATACGAACCATTTATCAACCATTTCACACACTGAGTCATGCGCAGTCGTTTTTGGACCATCTTCCATCACACACGGTCAAACCTTTCGATGCAGCATTTACGTTCCATTGACGTTCCGCCTGGAGCCGATTCAAAAAACAGATCAACAGATCAAGACTGAAACTGTAAACCAGAGTACGAACAACACGTCACAACTCGATATTAATGGAAAGTCATCCAATCGAGGTCGAGTGAAAAATCGGAACGGTCTCATGCGAGCCAGAGATACCAATGGTTACACGGAAGAAAATTGCGTTTTACAGTCACAGCAGCAGCAACATACTAACGGGGCGACAGAATTAAGGCTGCCACAACCAGTGTATGAAGTGGACCCCGAATTTGTGTTCAAGAAGCCATCTATGCTTGTGAAAGAAGGACATGGATACATCCGGTTTATAGAGAAAACGTTGGACGAACTGGATGAAGTTGTAGAATATGACTTGGATGAGGAGGTAAGTGCGACTTCCTCAGTACACTGAATTTTCGTGATAATTCCAAGCAAGCTATTTCTAGCTTCACCCGGCTTCTGTCGCAACATTTGCAGGAAACCTTCCGAGCCATAGTATACTTGCCTTGACCCTAGTTGGGGTGGTTGTAAAAGTCGCGATGAGGGAGTTGAAAGTGTTCTCTAGTCTGCGCACACTTTCTTTGCATTTTGAATTCGTGGCATTTATGCAGTTAGTCGTGGTCAAATAATTCCTCGATGTTCGAATTAGAGATATGCTTTGTTGTTCACTGATTTTGATGTTTGGGGCATAGGTAAATGGCACACGGTCCAAAAATGAGAAGAGTGGTAACTATGATAGATTTTTTTCCATGACTTCCATGATTTAACCGAACCGTTTGGGCAATAAGGGTGTAATAAGATGCCTACTGGATGCATACTGTTGCAGAAAAACGAAGGGAGAATTCCCAGAGGATACAAAACTGTTTACTGGGTGAATTTGTTTTCTCTTTGGAACGGTGAAAACTATTCTAGGCCTTGTGCACTGAGTAACCATAGATTAGTTGCCTCCACACTGATGAAATTTTTTACTTCCCGGACTGAACGCACAAGAGGTTCAGTACTCTTGGGAACTTAAGGAGCCTCAAATTATCTTTCATCATTTCATTCCGTGTTCCGATTTCAAAACTACCTGTCCTCCGTACCACCATGGCATGGTGCTCTCCCCTAACTTATCTATCGAACCAAGCCAAGTCAATTCGTGAAGAGATGATAGTGCAGATTTGTTGGTAGTATAACATGCGATTTGTATGTGTCATCAGCAAACAGCACAACTCTGGCGTTTCCTCTTGAGGAGTAGACCAGCCGTCTTTGGAACCAGAAGCTGTATATTTCTGTGGCTTAGTTTCCTCGAAGCGATACTGTTCTCAGAGAAACTCGGTGCCCCCAAAATCTCTTCATGGACGAAAATTTCCTCTGTTAAGGGGTTTCTTCGTACGGATGGGAAAATGATCTAGTGCACTGATTAGAGAGGGACCTGTAATCTAATGTCCTTTATTTTTAGGCCCACCAAATTGGTTTTCATTCTATGCCCTACCGTTGATTTCTATTTTTGCCATCTACCCAGGACCTTTTTTGGCTGGAGCGCATCAACAACGAACGGAAATTGAAAGGACTCATAGCAGTTGATGAAACAACACTCGAATGGACAATTGATCGATTCGAGAAGGAGGCCAAATTTCGCCCGTTATCTTCAGATGAGGATGGTCCTTTGACACACAGTATTGACGAGGACGCAGTGTGCTCCATTTGCCAAGACGGCAGTTGTGAGAATACCAATGTGATTTTGTTTTGCGACGTTTGTAATCTCGCTGTCCATCAAGTGAGTCATGTTTGTATATTCCGACCGACTGTTATTAGGTGTCTTCTTTTCTACATTTTCTCCTCAAACCGGGATTTTTCTCATTTTACCTTACCGTTTTGCTGTCAACTCACTGAATTACTAACCGCGGCGACATAATTAGCCTCGACAGAATTAGGTTCTGTTCTCTTTCCTATACGTTCCGGAGAATGAGTCACCCGGTTTCGTGGATGAACAACTTAACCTGTTGATCTTCGTTGAAGCCTTTTGTTTGGTTGCGCACCTCTAGTGTTCACGAAATCAACTGAAGTGTGCTGTTTTGAGAAGACATAAGGGGATACCACTTATTCATCTAGACTTCTAAAGATAGCCTTTCGTTCTGAAACCGTGAGGTTCTGTTCAAACCGAACTTCATCACTTTCTCAGCCGTGCTTCTGTAGAAGTGCGTGAATTCTTCTGGGTATATTTTGTCTGTGATGTCAATGCCTGGATGTTGTAATCGATGTAGCTCACCTCAGTGGCCTATGGTCAACCAGCCCTTCGAGTGCGTTGCATACTGATGCACTACCGGGACTTCTTTTTATGATGAGAACATCTCAATGAATCATAGATAAACCATGTAAGATCGTGGTTTTAACATATAAACCACTTAGCGAACACTCAACAACCACTCCGCTGGCCACCATGAATTGGTTTCACTTTTTCAGGAATGTTATGGTGTACCCTATGTGCCCGAAGGTCCATGGCTTTGTCGAAAGTGCTTGCATTCTCCCAGTGAGCCGGTATCTTGTGTGCTTTGTCCAAACACCGGAGGTGCTTTTAAGAAGACATCTGACGATCGTTGGGCTCATGTCATATGCGGGCTTTGGGTGCCTGAAGTGATGTTTGCCAACCTCACTTTTTTGGAACCACTTGAGGGTATTGACAGAATCGCACCTGCCAGGTGAGTATTTCTTCCTGACATGATCCGCGTTCTACCTCATTACACTGCTTTGAAGCGATGTACTGAAGACATGATGCCTTGTCACTTTTGTATCTTGGATTTAAGCTGGCTCCATTGCGGTTGCTAGTACATTGGTGGAGAGTCGTGTGATCCAGTGGATCACTAGATTCATTACATACATTACATCACAGGACCTCTATGAATTGACTCCTATCGAGAGGTTTCACAGGCCGGTTTTTATGTCCTTTCTGTTGTCTACGACTCTTGGTCCGACTCCCCGCAATTCTAACATCCGTAAGTTCCAGTTGCTCCCTTCAATTACAGTGGGCGGCGGAAAGAGTCATTGTCAATCACCAGTTTTCTTACTCAACTTATGTCTTATCAAGCCCGAGTTCTAGACCGGGTTAGGACGTTTCTCAATCCCTGGGTCACGTTTAAGCACTGCACGTGCATCTACCTCTGACTTCCTGTGATAATTTTTGTGGCCCCCAAAACCGACACATCTGCGTCGTATTTCTCTGTAATATTCTGCTGGCCAGGACTGTATGTGGCGAATCCTTTGGGTAGAAAAATTTGGAAATTTCGTGCAGCATTTTGTGGCAACCTTTTCACTTTCGAATTCTATAACTATTTCTTCACTTCAACTCACTTTTTTTTACCAGCGATCGTTGTGAGCTTTGTTCGCCAGCCTCTTCCATATCCCCACACTCACATTGCGTGATTCAGGTAGTTTCACACTAGTATTCCGAAATTGTTTTGCGGAATTTCATCCGTTCATCTAAATGCTTTTGTGTTTTAGGAGCTCGAGATACCTCATAGCTGGAACACCAACTCTCCACATCATTGATGTATTTTTTCCACTGAGCAACCGAAAATCCAGCTTCAAATAAGTGTACCCCATCGTTTGTTGGATTTCGCTTGAATACCGATTGAATCCAACAAAGCTGAAGGGTGGGATGAAGCCAATATTGGTCGAGTTTTCAATAACTGTCATCGAAAACATTCTCCTCTGTGATCAAGTGTCCCTTCTAATGGCTCTTATTCAAGTTTGTTGTGGTGAAAAACACTCGTCCATGGTAACCTAGAGGACAACGGTTGACGACAATTACATGGACTCACCGTTTTGCGCTAAGTTGCGCCAACGGCGACTATACAAGAGTGTTGGATGTTCGAAGCTTTCGCACCAAATCATGTAGACAGTTTTATTCCACCCGCCAAAAGGACATTTTTCCAACCAATACAGGTTTTTTCTCGGCGGAGAAGTGCTGTATTGAAGTTAATCGTTCCCGTGTGGTTGTTTCCCTCCAGGACTCTTATTTTGATGTGGCATAACAGCATAATAATACCACATGTGTAATAATCCAGGGCCTGACGGCTCTAAGTTTGGTTCATAATGCTGATGCACTCCGGATGACGTGACAGTTGAGAACGCTTTCAACCAGCTGATTTTTTTCATAAAGGAAACTACTCGCAAGGTTGCTGAAAACTCTTTTTTCTTCTCTGAACGTGTGAACTTGTGAATCTGTGAACCTGAGACAGTTCACATAGCTGCTCTTTTTCAAAAGAAAACACTCTCGTGAAGTCGTATTTCAGCACCACCTTATGATTTTTCGCACGAGAAAGAAGTACTGTACGCCCATACTATACTACCCATTCTTTCAAAACTGGCTATTTTCGCGACCTCAAAGATAGCACCTTTTTAAAATTTATCACCAGTACGCTTTTTAAATTCGGTCGCCACACCGGGGACATTTTCCGTCTCACGCGTGATCATCCTTTACGGATGCATTCAACATGACAGAACTAGTACAAAGTGATATTGGTAATGTGTTGGAATATTGGTAGCTCGGGTGTATTGATTGGTAATTGATGCTGAAAACTTTTTTTCTTCTCTGAACGTGTGAACTTGTGAATCTGTGAACCTGAGACAGTTCACATAGCTGCTCTTTTTCAAAAGAAAACACTCTCGTGAAGTCGTATTTCAGCACCACCTTATGATTTTTCGCACGAGAAAGAAGTACTGTACGCCCATACTATACTACCCATTCTTTCAAAACTGGCTATTTTCGCGACCTCAAAGATAGCACCTTTTTAAAATTTATCACCAGTACGCTTTTTAAATTCGGTCGCCACACCGGGGACATTTTCCGTCTCACGCGTGATCATCCTTTACGGATGCATTCAACATGACAGAACTAGTACAAAGTGATATTGGTAATGTGTTGGAATATTGGTAGCTCGGGTGTATTGATTGGTAATTGATCAGGTGGCTGTTGATCTGTTCGCCGAGCTTGGCAATTGATTTGCAAACGTTTCGTCACCATTCGAGGAGACATATTCAGTGCGCTGTTGGTTGGGTAGTTCCTCTCTTCGTGTTTTTAGGAGAATTCGGCTTGCGGATATCTCTCCATATTCGGCCTGAAGCCCAGCTTGGTCACCATTCAAATGAGGGCGTTGTTTCCCGGAATTAGAATGTCAACACAGCTCCCAAAGGATCTACACTCTATCTTGTCAATTGATTATTTAGCAACGATTTTTCGTTTTTTCCCGTGCACATACTATCGAGGTCGATACCGACCTTCACTACTCCCCGTTTAGCCGATCTTTAGCTCTCCAACTGAAACTTCACGGAAACAGGTGTTTAATATCTCAGCGCACAGGTAAAACAATCGGAACGATTAACGACCTGAAAGGGCTTGCCTGTCAGCTGAGTGTTGTCCAATTAAGATTAAGTAGTTCCAACTTTTGGCACCGAGCTTGTTCATTGAAGACAAAATCAAAAAACGTTGAAATTCAGCTTTTTATTTGTCAGTACGGCAGTGAAGCACGTACGGCAGTGAAGCATCGGTGTTGAACACGTCATGCTGTGATGATGATGATGATGATGATGAGTAATCAACACAGTTTCAGAGGGCTATCACATTTGTTATCGTCGGTAGCGTACCCCGCACTCTAAACAATGACCTCATTCCCAGCACTGCGGTCAGTTTCCACAGTTGGGTCACAGCGTCACTCTTCAACTGCCCGTAATGCATGTCCGGTGCACTTGTGTCCCCTCATTCTTCGAATGACTGACTGCATGTTTTGCAGATATTCTTTGAAGCATACGTTGGTGGTGAATCCCGTCTTAAAGGGAACCAATTCTGGCCATTTTCCTTCAAGTTCACCTGAGAGTAGACGAAATTCACAGAATTGGGACCACCTACGGCCCGTGATTCGTTCACTTAGAGTAGCAAAAACATTTTTCGTTTTTTATTATCAAGAACTGTGACCTGTCTTTCGAAATTCCCAGTCTCTGGCAATACTTTGTTCGCTTTTTACATATTTTCTTAACCAGATGGCGACTTCAGTGTTTCATTTGCAAACAACGGAACGCCGGTGCCTGTATCCAGTGTCACAAGACTAGCTGTTATCGTGCATTTCATGTGACCTGCGCACAACAAGCGGGTCTGTATATGAAAATCGAGGACACCGACGATCCCAAGGAGGCTGGAATCCGAAAGAATGCCTTTTGCGATCTGCACTGCCCTCCAGACCACTTCACCGTGAGTAATCCCTTCGGTTGTTTTGTTGTTTGACGTCTGTAGGTCTCCGAATATCCGCAAAAGCTGGGCTGCACTTGTTCAGACTTCAGATGGTAACATCAGCATTCTAACAATATCACTGACCATTGTACATTTTTGTTTCCTAGTTATACGCTAAGTAATGCAAAACGTTACCCACTGACCTAATATTTCAGCTGAGTGAAAACCGTAGAATATGATCGTTTGAAGAGTATGCGTTCATTTCAATATGCAGTGCACGACGCTCGAAATATTCATGCGGCCATCCATTTTTCACGAGTGTAGCTTCGTTACCAGTACACTTACTCAGTTCATTTCTTTAAGGTTTGCGGAAAATTACGAACCACACATCATTGTATGACCACTTTTAACTCTGGTTGTTTTGTGGCAGAGCACTTGAAGAAGAATGTGGGACATGGTGCGAAGTGTGGCCGAATTCTTCAATATGAACGTGATCGAACTGTGTAACCTTGGTCGCCATGCCGAATATGGTTCATATTATAGCCGTCCCACCCTTTTTGTCCGGAACGTGAGATTTCACTTTGAAAATGGGCACAAATTGTCTCTGTGTATCTGTTAACAGCACTAGACGAAACCATCTGGAGTGGGTCCTGGTTGTTGGCGCTCGAGGGGAAGTGAAGTTCAGCCTCTGTGGACAAGTGGTAGGGAACTTGCGCGGAAAACAAATCAGTCCGTCGTAATAAAGTTCATGTTTGTCTCCACGGATGCACATGGTACAACTGGTGGGTAGAAAAGATAGAGCGGCTTTTCAAACAGACGACCAGAACAGGTCAGCGTGGCAGTCTCAAACAGGTTTCCCAGAGCGTAGTGACCACAGCACACTAAAGGCCAACAGAGACCCTTCTGAAGGGTCTACTCCTTGGGATAGTCAATAGAAAGCATTTCGTGGTAGATTTCTGCAGTATTTTTCACTTCACCAGAGCCCTAACCTCCTTTAGGAGTTTAGGATGTGTGGTTTTAGTCGTAAGAAAAGCTAGAATTTTAATGACCCGTAGGTTATCACAGAAAAATACCGTTTCAGGGGCCGCGTAGCCATTTCGAAGCAATAGTTGGGGACGCAAACCACCGTACAATTGCCCTTTGAAACCCAGTACACCTAGCTGAAGAGTTCAGACTCAAATCCAGAATGCTTTCATTGCTAATCCGTCACCCCCTCAAGTCACAAAGAAGAACGCCCATCTTCTCAACCCCACCCTTTTGGTTTGTCGTTTCGCGCATTCGTCATCTTACAGTAGTTGTTCACCAGAAAATATTTCTGTATCACTTATTGATGTTGATAGGCAGTTTCTGATGGACGTAAAATACAGACTCACTGCCTTTCTGCCATTGCATGGCTGGAGCCCATTTTGAGTACTGCTTCTAGAGGACTGGGTAAAGCTTGCTTTACAAATCAGTGGACTGACAGTGGGACTTTGAGACCATGTAAACCTGAGACGGAAGTTGGTTCTCGAACGGCAACTATTTTTGGAGTGATATTCAGTGATGCAAGTTTTATGGGATTTTGTTGCTGGTCTATGTCAATCCTAGTTATGACACCGCTTAGATCAAGGTGATGACGTTGGATATGAATAGATATTGTAGTGACGATATGGCATAAAAGTACTTTTGTTCATGTGTTTCATAGTTTCATGTGATTTGAGCTATTTCCATGGCACCCAAAACGGAATAGTGGACGAATGAGGTTTTCAGTCGAAACTCATGGCAGGACAGTGTAAGACTACGAAAGTAGTTCTACTTCCAGTGAGCAATGTGCTACGTTTTCTTCAAGTCTCAACCTGGAGGGCCAGGAGACGTGGTTTTTGGATTGTGTTTGTTAGGCCTTTATCCATTGTCCAACATGGTAGAGGAGATTGTAACTGCTGTATAGGCATCCAGTATAGTCCAAAGGGCTGCCGAGGTAAGTAAGCCATCGCGCTACGGTAAGGTCCGGTGCTTTTGTGATGGACAGCTGTGCAGAACGAATCGCTCCAGAAAATTATGGAGCATAATACCATAACCTGGTTCCTTGCATATCATGAAGGGTATTATTGTAATCACCACGGGTGAAAATTTTGTTAAGTGTACATGAAACAAGATCCCAGGAGCAGCCCACAATTACAGCATCAGAAGTTAATAAAAATGTCACTACAAGCAACACCACATACATATGAGCCTTGTCATGGTGCCAACAAACTTCTCTACTAGTGGCAGCTTCAGTGATAGAAACTTCACATTGGATGGTCTCAGCGATTATTTTCCGTAGCGTGAGCTTCAGAACGAGCTTCATCATAGTGACACCAGAACTTGTTAGCAACTTTACTGAGGGAAAGACGGGCGCTTCTCGGAGGTAACCGAAGCTATAATCATAAACAACCTTAGAAGAATAACGAGAGATTTAGTTGAGGCTATTATTGACGCTAATGTAGTTTGCAAGTGAGTGTATGTCGCCGCCTTCGTACAGTTTAACCTTCAAGTAGAACATGAGGTTGACGGAAACCCAAGGATCGATGAGCCACAGGAAGTATGAAACCAGTGGTAGGCAGTTGAAGGGTTTTCATCGGCCTTCTAAACAATGTGCTATGTCAGGAAGACAAACAAACGAAACAAAATCATTTAGTGTCTTTCATCGATGACACACCGATAGCGGTGGGCCACGCATAGATATATAAACCATACTTGGTGGAAGACGCATGCTCCGATGTGTTAACATTTCTACTCTCTTCACTTGTGGACGTAATACGTGCGGGTTATATAAAACAGAAGGAAGATGTGATGTGAAATAGACATTTATTGGTTGATTTCTGCAATTCACTTGACCGATGCTAGGATAATCAAGTCGTTTGTGTCAACCTGTTTTGTTCACACAGTCGGTGCTTGTTTGACATGACCAGCAGCGCTTCGAGGGGGGGGGGGTTGTGCAACAGGACTCGGGACGGGTTGACCGAGTCAATCTGATGGTTAGTATCTAACGGATGTCTGGCTGCATATAATTCGGGATTGCTAATTGACCTCTGACCCGACCGTTATCCGGGCAACATCCAAGGCACATATTTCGGAATGTGTTCTGCCGCGCGCTCCGCTAGATATCTGTCCATCCTGTCAATGTAAGCATCTCTGCAACTGCAGTTGCACCTTTAGACCACATGCGGAGCAGATAGGTTAGACGATCTAAGTTCTCGCTTGTGCAGAGAAACTCCTCTGGAGTTCGGTAACAGACGTGGCTGGACTGTAGCATAAACACTTTAGGGCCGAAGTGAGCTCGCGTCTCATGTCGATATACACGTGATTACCTCTGAATCGAAGGGGTAAGTAAAGTACACCTTTGGTGACTGAATGAACCGAGGCTTTTCGTGTTCCGACTGTACTGTGGCTCTCAGCGAAGCGTTCTGGATAACCGCCCTTTAGCAGGGTTTCCTTAAAAAATTCCTCTCTCTGTAGTTGATACAAATTTCTTAGACTGTTTGCTACGTAGAATAAAGTCTTTACCAGCCAACTATGAGCTGTACTGAGAGAACCGCTCTTAGGCATTACATGGCCTACGCAACAGAGTCAACGTGTCTTCAACCCAATCAAACAGTGGAGTGGGTCTGGTCCTTAACAGATCAGTAATGTCGACCAGGTGTCTATGATAGACACTTTAGGAAAAGGTGAAGAACGCACACCATGACCAGGCCAATGGACCAGACCAACGGGTGCATCCATACTACTATATATATATATATATATATATTCATCACACTTCGATCATACTTCCAAGGATACATGAGCAAGGTTGACCACTACGTCTCATATTTGCTTTGAGTGGCTCAGTACCTCAGGGACGTCACGTGAAAGTGGTGACCCCACCTCGGCCGACTGAACACTGCTCAATAGCCCTCATCAAACGACTGAGACCCACATCACTTTGTGCTGCAGGATATTCAGCACTGGCACTACTGAGACACGTGTACAGTGAATGTCAATTAGTGAATGCGTGAGTGATTGAATCCTTTCAGTAACCGCGGGAAGTAGGGCACGCAACGGCGGACTGGCCAATAATCGATGTATGTGAAAATCAGCAAACGGTGCGAGTAGGGAGGTACCAACTTACGACTGAATCACTGTTGGCCGTATACTCTACCCTGTGCTCAATCGCTGTTTTATTAAGAAGCTAATATCTTATTCGTGCGGTCACCCCATAAATGTGTGTGTGTGTGTAGTATTTGACAATTTCCCCCATTACCGAGAGACGGCACTCTACACGTGCCAGACGACAGTGCTCTATGAGCTTGAAACATGGATAATCCAGTAATCCTATTGAACTAGTTCCTCTTCCAAGCATGGACAAATATGATGGCCATAATCCTCTCTCTAAACTCAAATCTGTAGAGTCCTTTTTCCTCCATGACATTAGGTTATGTTGCTCAGTTCTCAGATGTGAACGAACTCAAGGGCGTCCGCTTCTGTCTAAGAATTCTATTACGTGTGCATGTTATTCCTTGTTCTATTTCCTCACATTCATTGCATTTCAGAAGGGCAACAAAGGTATGTATGCCAACTCCGAGTCGGAGAACACGCATTCTCCTGAACAGGCTGCTCGGATTCAACTTCGCAAGGCGCGCAAAGCGCTGGCTGAACGGCGTAATTCCAAACCGTCCATTTGTGTGCCAATTGTACCCAAAGCAAAAATTGATGTAGGTTTTATTCTTCCAGCATTTCCTATCTTGTATTGTATCTGAATTCTTGGGTTACTTCTGTGTTCGGTAATTGACCCGCCTTATGGGGCTGTCGGTGCGCATGGGTGAACCTAAGGGATATGTGTTCATCTTGGTGAGCATACCTAGTGTTTCGGCAAAATTAGCCGGTTGATATGAAGGGGATACCTCTGGGTGCACGTTCATTGAGTTTAGTTTAGTTTTTTCGCTGAATCCTTTTTTAATTTGGAAGAAAACACTGTGTGCAACGTTTGTAAAGTTATTAATGTTCGGGAGATGGTTCGGGTGAGATGGCCCAGTGATTAAAGCGCTAATTTATTGATCAGAAGGTCCGTGGTTCGAACCCGACCTCTGCCTCTCGACTTCCCATATCTAGGCTTGGTCAACCTGGCAGTATTCCAGCCCCCCTGCTTCCTTGTGGTGGCACGGCAGTTAGGCACCGAAAGAATGCTACAGCTGAATGTTTTTTCTTATGTTCGAGAGCAGACTGGTATTCAGGGCAAAACAGCTGCCGATAAGTTGTCGGTAACTTTGATCTTATGCAGGCGAAAAAATCCCAGACGAGAAAATGCTTTGTAGTAGGGTAAATGTTTCGCACGTTGTGGTATCTTCTGAGAGGTCTTCTTGAAATTTAAGTCACCTTCTGGGATAGTATTCATAGTTGATGGTCTATGGCAGCAATTCACCGCAACGTGTCCACCATATTATGTGCCAACTTGTTATTATTCACGGTTTACGAACCTTCAACGTCTGTGATAAACCGGCTGTCTTGCCCATCAATCCGGGTGAGTCTCATAAAATCGTTCTAGAACTCACACTATCCCTCATCACGATTCCTACCGAAAACTGGTGACCTGGGTATGAGGAAGCATGAAAGCATGAGTGCTACTCTCACCCTTTCACTTTCACTTACACGGACCCCTGGCTTAAAGAGTCATTTGTTAGGCACAACATCGCGTTTTATTAACCGTTTTTTCTAGGATCACTTCATTTCTCTTACCACCCTTCCCCTGAATGCAATTCTTCACTGAGTGGACACAAACGAAGTCTCCGAACAGCGACCTGGGCGGAAGTTTTTTGGGTCACGTGACCGATCTCCTTGCGTCCATGTGATTAGCTCTAATAAGAATGAAAGGTATTGGCGATTAGGGTTTTCGGATACGGTCAAACTTTCGAATATTGATAACTTAAGCTGTCCAACGCTCTAGTGGTGCAAAATCACTGCAACTTGTGCATCTGAAGAGGCAATCGTACCATCTCTGTTTTCTGATCTTTTGACGATCTTTATATCTCCACATTACATTCGTGCGCTTTTTGGTGCCGAGTAATATGTGTATGATGACTCCGTAGCATTAAGCGCCTATGTTGCAACACTGTAGCCTTTGAGAGCACTTGGGCGTTCTGAGAGCAGCTCTAGATTAATCCTTGGTGGCATTTAATCGTTGTAAGGAGTGCTTACCATTTGGGGCCGGTAAAACTTTCCACTTTTGAAGCGTCCATTGCTTGATTCTGTTAACAGTCCAATAGAAGGAAAGACTGCAAGTTAACCAACTCATAGTCATTGTTGTTCCACACCTGCCCCCTGGGCCACGTTTGAAAAATAAAACTGGTTTCCTTTTTTTTAAACGTAGCTTATGTGCACCATGCTCACTGATGACATATCCGGCGACGTGATGGACTTTCTTGGAAAAGCCTACGCTTTCTGGAAACTCAAGCGGGAAGCTCGCCGTGGTGTACCTCTTCTCAAACGTCTTCAGGCTTGTTCAATTCATCGCAGTGCTGCCAACTTTGTAAGTTGTTTTTGCGTTCCTATAAGTGTATCAACCTTAATGTGGATTCAGAAAGCTTATTATTACGTCTCAAGAAAACTCCGTTTCATTTGTACTGTTCGGATGTCCGGTAGGCAGTTGAACATGCTTGTTTGTACACCAGGAACTATGAGTCCGGTTGAAATCCTTTTCATGCTAGCCGCGATCTCTGCTTGAACGTGGACGCTTTCAGGACTCTGAAGTAATGTACGCGTTTCTTGGAGGCATGTCTTCAGATAGGTACAACCAAAGGGCTTTGTACTACCACGCCCTGTCTAACCGGTTATCCTAATTTTACTCACTGCTCTTGTGAAGTCCGGCTCAACATAGACCCTTGAAAACATATGTTTATCTTTCTCTACTCCTTTTTCGATTGATATCAGTCCTCTGCGAATAGCAGGCATTCTTCCCGTACAATCGAGAAGTTGGCGGACAAACTCAGACCTAATGTGTAAGCTTAGTGAGGATATACAAAAGAGCTGAGTTGATTAAAAAGACAAAGCGCGTGTGGTTTGACCAATGGGAGCACAAAGTTACAAACCGCTCGATTAAAAACGCCTTAGTATCGGTTTACTTCAAGTCCCACTGTATCATTTCGATGTTCGCGACTCCTTCATAGCTTCAACACTGTATTACCAATCTTGCATTTGGTTCCGAACCTTCTAGGCCATGGCTGCTACGACTGGGGATGGAGAGGCGAAACAAATGCGCAAGCAGCTGCAATTCTGGCAGCAGTTGCGCCAGGATTTAGAAAAGGCCCGACTCCTGTCGGAGTTGATTCGGAAACGCGAAAGGGTGAAGCGGGACATATTTCGAGTGTTTACGGCCGAAGCGGAACTCCAGATCAGGTCCATTAACATTTTCTTATTCCGGCTACTGGAAATTCTCCAGGTGGGTTTGGTCGATTTTTACAGTAACCATTCGTGTTTGGATGTACGTTATCCCCCTCCTTGAGGATAACCATGAAGCGGCCAGAAATAAGTTCGTTTCTCGTGGAGTGGTGGGGAGCCCTCCTGTAGAGATCGGTTCACATGCTGAATCGTGGCGGACAGAAAACGCATTTGTTTACTGTCAAACCTGGTGACTGCTCTTTGAACGGGTCGTTTTGAGTTTTATCTGATTACCGTGACGCCTCAATGTAGCGCGGAGGATTAGATTCGAGAGTCTGGCGAAAAAAGTTCCTGCTTTGAGTCAACTAGTGATTACTTGATTGCGCATGTTTGTGCTTGGATGACCAGCACCTGTCAGTCTTCGTGCTCACCCGAATAGGTTAAAATAACCAGGGCTCTCTGCCACTCTGAAAACATTTCGGTTCTTCAACCCTCGCGGCTCCCAAAAACACCCCCGTTGTAAAATCTCGTGCAAGTGTTTTTTGTTGCCGTCAAATTCCGACGTAAATATACTCTTTTAAATCATGACAACATCTTGTTGATCATTTTGCGACTGACTTTCTAACGAGTTCATCGATCAATGGACGCAGTAGATTGGTTATACACTAAGTTTCCGAAGGACTTTGGATCCTCATGGTCACTGAAACTGGTAATGGTCTGAACCTTATATACATCTGGAGTGAGCTCCTTAAACCGATGCTGATGCAACACAAACAAACTGATACCGAATACTGCTCCTGGATAGCCTTCGTAGTATTCATGACAGATGCCTGTCAGTCCAGAATGACGGCTGTCCACAGCCAGCCGTTACCCCAATCGACGACTTGTTTGTGGCAAGCATGTGGCCTCTGGATGTCGTCCGCATTCATTTCGATTGCATCACGTACCAGTTCTTTGGCTACAAAGGTGCGTAGATGTCATTTGGCATTACAGCTAATGTTTGCGGGACTTAGAATGTGTGTATTTGTTGTTGATGTATACCCGACTTATAGAAGTTGTATGTCTTTCATTTCTTTATATCCACTTCCTATTATATCTTCCATAAAATCAATACACTCCTTTACCACTGTCCTTTTTCTTCCTAATAGGGCCTGGATAAAAATGGGTTCTTCGCCGAGCCAGTTGGACCAGAGCTTGCTCCTGACTATCACCTGATCATCAAACATCCGATGGACTTTGCCACGATGCGCTCCAAAATTGAACAGTCCTGTTACCTCAGTATTAGGGAGTTCGAAGCAGACTATAACCTGATGTTAAACAATTGTTTTCAGTACAATCGACGTGACAGCATCTACTATGCAGCGGCGACACGCATATCGGAACAGGCAAGCTTAACGTTATTAGTTGAATGACAATCATTTTGGATCATGATTCTTGTTGCAACCCGTCTTTTGCGCACCGCTCTTCTTNAAAACTTCGAAACAACGCGAAAGCTCTGTAAGACAGAAAAAAGATTGTTGGAGGTTCGATACGACAATAACCGGTTGTGCATCCCACTAGTTTGCTTACCTTTTCCGCATTATTTCACCAGTTTTATTCAGTATGTCTGAGTCGTATCTCTTGCTGACTCCAAATCAAAGAATTACTTCATTCAGTTTGGCTTGTGCTGGATATCAGCCATAGTGTGTTGCACAATCGAAACACTAGTCTACTGCACGCATTTGCTTTAGCAGTTGCTTTAGACTGTGTTAAGTAACACAGATTAAAAAGAGTCAGATTCGCAGTAGAAGATGTCTTGCGCAGAGACGTTTCGATCACAGGGAAACTGTTAGTCCTGTGATGCTATACGTTTTTCCAGAAACGGTATACTCGCAAAAGTTCAAAAGTTCATATCACGTCGACGAAGAAGCGTAGAAGACACAGTAGTTACTGTGTCACGTAGAATCCTATGATTCACCCTAGTGGTGCATAAGGATGGAAATCAGTGGAATGATACAAAATGGGAAAAGTAGTACTAATTAATGGGACTAGTGATGCTTGTGATGGGATTGGACAAAATGAAGTAGAATGCAAATAGAACCGGCTTCGCTCCGGTTAGTGGGTAGGAATGGGAAGAATGCGGGTTAAAATTTGGGTGTGTATGTGTGTAGCCTCACTTTGTACGTATGCACAACGTCCGGTGTTCGAGAGAAGCAAGTTCATAATTGCTTCAGTAGTTTCAGAAGGTGAAATGGTCTTCTTAGGTATCACATGCTCCTTTACTTGTTTAGGAACCGCTATTCTGGTCGTCGTGCTTATATTCTTCCATGGTCTGTGTGACCCAACCTCTCCACACAGTATCTACATGACTCGCCTTACCTAGTGAAATTTCCAGGGATTGGCCCATCGAAAATGTGTACTTTCGGGGTAACTACTAGCATACACAAACATCTGTGCGAGCGCAGGCGCAACTCGAGCAGATGGGCAACATTTTAGGTTACCACGTCCTTTTGAGTCCTCCATATGTATCTCTCTCTCCTTTTCAATGTCTGATATGAATCTCTGTGCTCGTTTTTCGAGTTTTGAACTGCAAGAACCACTCGTTTTGTTGCTACTGACTTTTGTTGGTCTGTCGGCTTCATCCTCCCTATTCTGTGGAAATCCGTGAACAGTTCCGAAAAGCCTATGTTTACTAATCCTGATCAAAATAACGCTGTTTTTTTTAATTACAACTAACACCTGCAGGGGAAGCAAATTTTCCGAGAGGCCTTTGCTATTGCCCAAAGAATCGGCATTAATTACAATAACACCTGCAGGGGAAGCAAATTTTCCGAGAGGCCTTTGCTATTGCCCAAAGAATCGGCATGTCCCCCCATACTGGTTTGCTCACTGTGATGGAACCTTACGATGCTTCAGAGGAGCTTATGAACAGATTAACTCCAGCAGAAGATACATCCCAAGTCAAAGAAAACTGTCTGTCTCTGCCAAGTCACGAAACTGAGCCCGTAAAAGCCCTCCGGGTCAACTCATCTCGCCCCTGTTCCCCCAAACCACATAGCCCACTCAGAGAATTGGTCAACAGTCACCAAACACTGTCAGTTTCTTCCAGTACACGAAGCCGTGTCCGTCGATTGTCTGCAGATATGTCGGGGTTGCATCCAACAAGCAACCAACCTGACGGGCTTCATCCGAGCGCATATCTGAGTCCGATCGAACTCCCTACTAGACGTTCTCGTAAACGACGGTAAGTGAACTTTAAGCCCATTATGATTGATTCGGAATCTCTGGTTTGCTGGAATGTTACAACGCTGTTGATATGTATATCGTCCTTATTTCACTACACTTTTCTGATCCAACTTGAAGATGTTAAGTTCAACTGTTACGCAAATGCAGTTAATTGGTTATCCATTTGAAAATGTCCGCGGTAGACACTTGAAACCAGCCTATCACTGAACTTAACTATGCTGTGTGGCTCACTTTATTCAGATTGAGATGTAATCCAACTAGCAACTGAATCGTCCCAAGACAAATCTCACGGCCATATCGTGTTCCGACCTGCTGAGACACTGCTTGTGCAGTAAAACTGAGTATGGTAGTCTGTTTTGACCTACGCTCAACGCCCTTTTGTTAGTATTTTGTAAGCGAGAAATGTTTCTTCTTTCCTCCATCCATGTTACGCGGCTGGAACGTGTGAGAACTCGGTGGCTTGGTTCAGTGACACATATCGCTAGTTGTAACGGCATGATAGCCTTAGTGAACAAGGAATCGAGTTTTTATTCGGCGGCAATACTTCGATTCACTAGTTTATCCGTAGCCGTGATCTGAAGAGGCTATGCACATCACATAATCATTCAACAAAAAGAATACCGTTTTCCGTGCAGAACACGGAGTGGCACAGATAGACGGGTGAGCAATCATGACTCAGTGGAAGAATATGAAGGCGATGACCTCAGTGTTACTTGCTGTTCCCGTGAGAATTTGCAAGACATGGCTGATAGACGATATTTCCCTCAATTACGTAACGGGAACGTGTATCCTGGATCAGCACTACACCACTGTGCATCCTCTTCCGCGTTAACACTCTGCACACTGAGTCTTTATTCTGATCACCAGCCGCTCTCGATTTGTAGCAAAGCGTCTGTTTTTGGGCTGCTCCCGAGCGGTTACCGATATTGTGTTCATCATAACCGGAAGTTATGTTCCCTTCAACAGCTGAGCGCAGAACATGACAGTTTTGAGTATACTATTTAATGACAGCTTGTTGAGTATTCCACACGTACGAACGACTGTCCCTCACTCATTGTCTGAGTGCAATTCCAGCACTACACGTGCATCCTCTTCCGCGTTAACACTCTGCACACTGAGTCTTTATTCTGATCACCAGCCGCTCTCGATTTGTAGCAAAGCGTCTGTTTTTGGGCTGCTCCCGAGCGGTTACCGATATTGTGTTCATCATAACCGGAAGTTATGTTCCCTTCAACAGCTGAGCGCAGAACATGACAGTTTTGAGTATACTATTTAATGACAGCTTGTTGAGTATTCCACACGTACGAACGACTGTCCCTCACTCATTGTCTGAGTGCAATTCCTCCTTAGTTATATCTTAATGGCATGGAGTAGTAGGTTATTTAGTGAATTCGGACAATACAACGCCTAAGTACACACAGTGAACGAGACGACACGTCTTGGTGTTAGTATATCTTTCCAATCTCTCTCCCCCTCCCCATGTGTAGCCTGCGCACTGGTTCACATAACAATTCACCAACCGGCTTGAAAGCTTCGAAACAGAGAAAATTGGACGTGAGCGTGCCAAATAAAGACAGCTCCGCCCATACTCAGTCCACAATTACCAACTTTTTCGCCCCCAAAATATCCGAGACATCTACCATTTCACCTAAGGCAAAAACAATCAGCTGGCCAACCACACCGGCGTCGACAGCATCTGGACTCGCAAACTCCATGAACCTTTTCAGTTCCTCCTCTTGGGAACAAACCACACCATCTGGTAGTGGTGGTGGTTTGCGACTACCGGACTCAGTCGGTAGCTCCCGAAACGGTCCGGCGTTCACTCGATACCGGGTTACTCGTCTTCCTCGTTATGAGGAAGAAGAGGAAGAGGATGACGAGGACGAGGACGAAAGTAGTGAGGAGGATAGCAGTGATCCGGTGGCACAGTTTAAAGTCTCTACGCCAACAGCACAACCAGAGGGACGCTTGACTCGTGACCGATCTGTTCGGAACAGTCGCTCTGATTTGGACCCAGCTGCTAATCGTCCTCTTGTTTTCACCACCTTGGTCGGAAAAAGTCACATGGCTTCAGTGTCATGTCGTCGTGCATTTCGTCAACCGATTGGACGGGGACGAAACGTAGGTTATCCCTGATATCTATCTGTTACTAGGTCTTGATTGCACACCAGGCGAAAGCTGAACAGTTTTGAGTTTCTTTTTATACTTCTGCTCTGTTGCACTTTATCATGAAGTTGTTTCTGTTCGTTGTGAGGAGCTGGTTATGTGCTCACGTGCCAGCTTCTCGCTGACAACTCATATACTCCATTCCGTGTGACTGGTGAGGACACAGTGAAATTTGCATATTTAAACGGCTTTTTTGTCGCGTCTTAGCGTCAGTGTGGTTCCAGGTCCAGTGAGATGTTGGACTAAATAAGCTATCGAGTGATGTGTTATCCGTTTCCCGGCTGGCTGAGCCACATGATTCGTGTCCTCCTTATGGGGACTCATTAAAACGAACTAAGTACATAAATCAATTGTTGTATTATAGTATCAAAGCTGGTGTTGCCGTTCAAGACGATAGTGAGGATGATCTTGGGATCATACTCGCTAATAATATCCGGTAAACTTGTGAGCCGGTGATATAACTTTCCCGCGGGAACTGACCACCACTTAGACAAGAGGTAATCCTACTCACGAGTAGTCAGGTTATCTGAGCAGATCGGCAGCTGGTGTACCTACATGGTGAACCTTCATGGTGGCTACTTGTGGCTGTGAAGGAGCAATTTTTGTGCTAACTAGCGGGATCCAAATGAGCTCCACAAGCTGGTGTATACTATTATCACGACAAAATGGAAATTGTGCCTGATGACTTGTCAGTTGTGTATTGCTTCGTCCAGGTACAACTGGTATTGGACTTGTGTGCACATGAACCCGAGCTAGGCTACTGGAAAACCAAGTTTAAAAAATCCCGCCTGCCACGATCTGGGAACACTATCAGTGATATCCGCCGTCTAGCGGGGCACTGGAATGTTAGGTCTGGCTTGACGGCAAAAAGTCTTGTCACTGGTGTAAAGCATTCGCTTTAGGGACTGGGGGGATGTAACCGGTATGGTTTTAGCGTGCTGTTTTCTTCTATAAGTGCAATGGAGGAAGTTTCGTGTCACAATATTTGTTTCCTCTTTGGTGAAATTGGTGTGTATTTGAGTCTAAACAGCGGTGATACTTGTAGGCATTAACACGAGCAACTCTTGAGTTAGCCCTCACTTTCCAAGAGTACAATACTCCAGATGTTTGGTAGGACTCTTTTATGGTAGAGCACGTGTGGTGGAAATTAGACCGATACATAAATTCATCATTTGTAACCTTGAATTGGGCTTTTCTTTGTGTTCGATGTGTTGAAGACTCTGTCTTCCGCCTTTTTAATCAACTTTCCAATAGGTTTGAAACTGATTATGATTTGATGTCTGGTCTGTACTTTGGCCTTTTGCAAAACTGCAGAAATAGAGAAAGTTTTTGAAGTCCTTTGTTGCAATTCAACCAAGTTGTGTATCTAAGTGCGTCACCCAGATAATTTGTCGATAATTTATCGCATAGACAGATGGGTATCGATATCACTGGTCCGACTGGTCGAATCCAATTGTAGCGAGAGGGATATTTGCTAGGAAAGCCGTTTATTGCGTCAATCAATTCAAATTTGGACGGAAATCCCATCCACGTGACGTTCAATATTGACTCATCTGCTTGTTGGGTCCCGTATTTAGAATGTGCGTCTTGTTTGTGTCCGGGCCCTGTTGTTCACTGGAACATCCGATTGTGGGGTGTGTGCGTTCGTTCGATTGTCCCGGAATCCTTCCATCCGTTAAGCTACAGCACGTTATATCAACCTAGAGCTCCTAGGTCATTCTTCATTCGACTCCAAAGTGCCTCGGGATGATCTGGCCATGTTGTATCCTTCCTGATGGGCTGATTTGTCTGAAGGAAGCGGTATCCGTTTGCCTTTTTGGAGGCGACTCGTTCACGTGTCCACACCCCTATTACAACATGCCGTGCAGATTGGTTGCCACCTTCCAAACATGCTGGAACAAAATTTCGGTTTCTCTTTATTGTGTTGGTCCGTCGATAGGCGGTCACGTTTCGAAAAAATAATTCGTATATAGGGCACTACTCCAAAAAATGATATCAACTGAGATCCTTCTATTTAAGCTGGTACGGTAGTTACTAACGAAACCAACTGTATGAGATAATGGGTCCCGTAATAATTAGAAAACAGAAGGACATGTTGACGCTGTTCTTCGAGCGGAGTGCGAATGTTAAGATATTTGGTGTGACTTGGTATCGCTTCACTGGCGCAGAGAATTGGTTGGTCTTGTGGTTCACTAAGGCGTGATTTGGCGACCTTAAAAGACTTCGGTGGTGGGTTGAGGGAGGTGAACTAACAAATGAATTACCTGCGATTGGAGTTTTGTGCCGCATTAGCATAAAATATTTGCCTGAATTGCGCTGGTGTTCGGCAGCCCTCAACCACGCCAAATTGTTCAATTAGCGGTTCCTGGTTGCGTTTTGGTAGAAGCGGGATCACCCAGTTCAGGACATGGGTTTGAACAACAGTTTACCAAAAGCAGTGCTTGATTAAACGGTTATCCGTTTGCGCCTGTCCATTGGTTTCTGAACGTTGGTTTCCATGGCATGGCTCATAGCGAACCATGTGATAGTATTCGATGTGATTGGCTGCGATAGGTATCCATCTGCAGTCAACTGTTTGTTGTAGAAAGTAGAGGGCGATATTAACAGGGAGTAGCATACTCTATAGATGTGCAACTCGTTCACCGCCAGCACCTGTTTTTTAGGGAAAGTACGTTCAAATCGAATTCGCAAATATCCCGGAATATTCATATCTCCATGGTCGAATTTGGATCCGTGCTATCTGCAGGAATTACCCCGAACTAATGATGAAATAAGCTCTGAGACTCACTGGACATTCAGCTAAGCATAGAAAAGCCCCTGGCAAACTGGAGTATCCAGTGGGATACCGGATAATCTTTTATGCGCAGTTAAGAACATAAGAATGGGTCATGATTGGACACCCATGTCAAACCCGCATATTCCCCAGCACTGGTGGATAGATACCAAGAATGGTGAATGAATTTCGTAGAATTCGGAGCGTGTGCGACTCCAAGGAGACCAAAACACAACGCATTTGCAATGCTCAATCCTCCGGTCGCTCAATCATCTGTAAAGTCCAAGCGTTTTCTTGTGGTGGCCGCAGCTAATTGCTCAGCTCTACTGCTCTCTTCACCGTACATCGCTAACTAGATTGTTGTAGGCCACAATTGATCGGATCTGGATTCTCAACCTAGGGTAGTATGCACGAATGCATCCACTGACTTTCTGCGGGAAACGAATCAACCACAAAAGCCATGTGGTTTTAAATCATATTCGGCTATCTTACATGCAGCGCATTTGCCTATGCTAGGCAATCAGGTAGTGCCTTTACGGTACCCGATGCGCAAAGCATAAGAGGCTAAGCATTTGAGTTGTAGCTCTTGAAGTTAGTTGCCTTGCGAACTAAGTTCACGAAGTTCCTGTCGACTTTGTGCGTTCACAGATCTCATCGAGTAACTTCACTGGAAAAATACATAAATTTAAGAATTCCATGACCGGCAACAAAATCTTCTTTGCACTCAGTCTTTTACAACAAAACAAGAGATATACCAATGTGATACGCTGAGTATTTGGACGGTAACATAATTTGCCACACAATCCCGTAGAAACAATGCAAGAGCGCCTGCCACTGTGGTCGCTTGACAGGATTAGTTTGACCATTGTGGACTAAAAGTAGGTTCTTGCCGATTGTATGGGTTTACAAACCCAACACAGTCTAGTCAGGTCTTATCTCCCATCATGATTTTCCATGCCGCCAAACTGTTGGCCCCCTAATGATGCTGCTGCTTCCGACTCAGCTGACACATCTTGTCTTCTGTGGAGCATTACTCATAGGTTGATGAATAGTGTTGGTCGTCGTGCAGCTTAGCTCCACATGCTACTTCTGTTTACAGTTCACGTGCAGCTTCGTGTTAACACAGCCTCAACTTGAAAATGATTGCTTAGCTCCGTCAGGGATGCCCACTCTCTCCATTCTATACTCCAAAGTGCGCCCTTCCGGACCACGAAGTAGAGGACGGAAAATGGAACATCAGCGACGATCTCTGTACGCATATAGACGGAAGCGTGTCCTGCGGTCTCGTGGTGGGGCCAATGCGACTAGGCGCAATGAAACAGCGCGAACCGATTGGTTGGCTCCTGAATCCCAAAATGCAGATGTACATCAGCCACTTCACTTCCGTGAACCAAATAACACATCTACCAGTTTAGAACTGAGTGATGCCTGTTCACAGCTGGAATCACCTGGTCCCCTTTCCGCTAGCACGAGTATTGAACCCGGTGACTTCTTCAATCAGTCCTCCGATATTCAGTCAGTTCCCGGTAGTCCAAGTGCGAAAAGGCGCTCAAGTGAACTTGGTGCTGCAGACTCTCTGAGCGACCGCCATATTGGTCCACTGGATGTTGTTTGGGCTAAGTGTCGAGGTTCTCCATGGTATCCGGCGCTGGTGAGTTTTCCCTCTTGCGTAGGTTGGGCGTTTTTTGCGAAATCCGTTTTGCAAAATCAAATCTAATTGGACAGCTACAGTAGACTGACATACTTGCAACTTGGGTGTACTTTATTATTTCTTAATGGTGCTGCAGAAACCTGTACTGTTTACTTCTTGTCAACAATAGTGGCACTCCATAAATTACTCTGTTTGGATTCGAGTTGCAAAGCATCGTTTCTCACGCAACCTCGTTTGCAATGGTCCGGACAGTGAAAGTGACTTGAAGGCAGCCAACCTAATGGGGCATGTGAATCCTAACCAACAAATTCAATCCTGTTACCAGCCTCCGCCTACTTGAAAAGGCAGGTGAAGAATAGGTGTATCACTTATTGACATTTAGCTTCTCACTTCTATAAAAAAGAGTGGGCACTTCGGCTTCGACTCAGCGCAGCCCCGCCAACACCGTGGGCACAATGAATCAATCAGGGCGTTGCTTACGGTTCGTCAGTCCGTCATCATCGAAATGATCTGGCCGTTCGAACCCCTGCATGTCTTCCACTCGGTTTCAGTCGATATATTCTTCTTCCTAAGGTTGCGCAACGTAGCTCATTCGCCACTCTATTGGGAGCGGTCGATCTCGAAAGTTGATGTACACCCGCAGCTCTGCATCTGCTTTGGTGCACACCTAGCCACATTCTGGTAACTGGACTGGATTTTTTTGTTGGATCTCCTTAATAGAATTTAGATGAGAGTCCATGGAAGTTTAAAAAATGGCTGCGTACAAGCAATCGCTTTGGAGCGTCTCCAAGGTACTCTTTACCATCTGCTGTATCATAGGACATGGGTTGTGAGACGCATCAGTTCATCAGTGATGTTAGACCGCTGTTCGTTTTACAAATACCGTTATCTGTTGGCATCTCACTACGTTTATTGCAGTGCCGCAATCAAACTTGAGCTTTACCCTCTGAAAACCTCATACAGCGCTGTTGGTTGACCACAAGGAATGAGATACTCGGTATGTGCTCCATACTTACTAGTGAGATCAAAGCGTTGTCGCCTGAAAGGGACACTGTTGTTTGCAAGATCATGTTTCCCAACTTTTCACAATTGCACAGGGATATCTTGAACATGTGTTGCACTCAGCATCTCAATTACACTGGTTTCCACGAACCCGATCGAAGTGGTCCATTCTGAGTGGACGCCCCAACTGACTACCAACTGATTTGGCAGTTTCATCGTAATAATACACAAGATCGGTCTCAATTCAAAGCAGATCCGCAAGTATTTGCCGGATCCCTGAGATACCCAGTCGGTCATGGCATACCAGAACAAAAGGCTCACACTAACCTAGGAAGGCCATATGAATGACTATAAATCGTCATCTGTCTGATGACATGACAGTGGATGGACGACAGTATAAACGTACTTGATTGTACATTGGCTACCCTTAAACAACCAGTTCAACACCTGGCAATACACCACGCTCCGTATGCATTGCCAGAAATCGCAACGCATTCCAGACTATCTAGTAATGCAATGATGTGTCACTTGAGTTAAGTGATTTGAATTTTGGAAAAAATCTATCAATTCTTTTGTGTGTTTCGAGGTATTCTTTTTGCCATTTTCTAATGTAGTAGTTAACTGATGTTTCGCCTCAGGCCAAGATGCTAATTTCTCGCAAACGCTTGCTAGTTTCTTTTGCATCAGTCTTGTTTCTCGGTCGCTGTCTAAATCACACTTGTTTAGACTTTGCTTTTGGGTATCCTCCAATTCCTGCCTTACGGAAGTTATTCCTTAACCATGGATACCTTGCTGCCCCAAATTTAGGACAGCTCATAATTCAACTGTCATATCCTGTTATTAAAAGTGATCCAATAGAAGGAAAGTTGACTTTCACGTCGTAGTTACGTGCGCTGATTAGCCACATACAATGCAGTATTATTCTCACGTTTGGATTGTCGGGAAAAAAATGTTGCTCATGTTAACAGAAGAGCTGAAACCAGCTTTGGTACTGGCCTGAGAGTAAATTTATCAGCTTGTACCGCGGCAGACCCAACAAGAACTTACCTTTGTGAAATTTCGTCGGATGAACTATTCTCATGCCCATTTCTTGTAGCTTGGATCTGGATTCGTTCTGTTTTCAAGTGCAATTCGATGGTGCACGAATATGACATACACTCATTCGACCATCTATGGTTGATTGTCTGGCGACCGCAACAGCATTGTTTCCAGTCGGTCGGCCACACAGCTTCTTAAAGCCTGTTTTATAATGGTTCTTGAAATTAGATAGCAATCCGAAGTACGTGGCCTAACCGACATGGGCAATAAAGCGTGATAAACTCGTCTATTGCTAGCAACATGGTCTTCCCCCGCATCGCTAATCCGATTTTCACACCGCTCTTGGCGATGCTCCTGAGACACCGATGGCCAAGCAACAAAAGTTTTCATGTATTTTCTGCGCGTCGAAGCCAAACCAAACTAAGCACAATTGAACTTGCCTAATGGTCATTTCTCCCGATGTGTCATGGCATACACATCGTGTGACCGCAACTTTGTCCAGTCCGTTAGTCGATAGCACTTTTATGCTGTAATGTGGACTGCGATGTAAATGGCAGAGAAAAGTCATCGTTCGACAGCTGACGACCCTACAGCACCAGTACTCACATGCTAGACAGTTTGGTAGTGTCCTTTGTGAATCTACTCATACGATGCAAGGTAAAACTTTGCTGGATAGCCCATAAACGCTGCTTCAGCTCTTTTTTCAAGTGTTGGTAGTGATCATTGAGGGGAAATGGAATCTGGTGACCAGCCAGCAGTGATTAAAGTGTGTCAGGACAGCGCAATTCATCCTCCACATGCACCGTTCATCTCACGTAGCCTGGTGCTTGCAAGCATCAGTTCGCGACCGAACAGGAGTACTTCGTCGCTTTTTAGCGTAGATTTGTTTCACCCGGTAGAATGAAGACCACAGCTGAGTCCCCTAAATCCCTTCTCCACTTGCAACAAGTATTCTTTCTACAGTACATTTTAACAACGCTCATAGGCATCATGAGAATTATGTTTTCATTAACTATTTTCAGAGAATCCTACTTTGGTGGAAAGCTTTGATCAGGCACATCCGACGGTTTTGACTGAGGTCGACAAAGCCAGTAGCTCCTCTTTTACAATTGATGATGATTGTCACCGTTCCTTTTTCTACACCGCAGGTTATTGATCCGGGAGCTAGCGATGGTTACTCCCACAATGGTGTCCCAGTGCCGATCCCCCCGGAGTCTGTTCTTAGATGGGGAAGACGAATCACTGACGGGTCGAGCACCGTCGCTGATGAAGAAAAGCCAAACCTGCTGGTCCTGTTCTTCGATACCAAACGAACATGGCAGTGGCTTTCCAGATACAAATTACAGCCCCTTGGCCTTTGCGTGGATGTTGACCGTGAAAGGCTTCGTGAAGGCAGACGAAGCAAAATGAAGAACTCAGTGAGTGTTATCCATTGTTTCCATGCTTCTCTGCATTTGTGTGCTCTACTTCCGTAAACCTTTAGGTATTACGACTTCCATCACTAAACCCCTTTAAGCTGCAAGTTTCAATAAGGAACGCAATTTTAGTTATCAGTCGTTACAAACGATTAGGATAAGAGTTTTCTATCCGCCCTTTTAGTTCGTTGCTTTGCGAGTTCATGACTTATTTCCACTTATAGACAGTGAAACGTAATGCATGTAACCGCATGGGTCAGCAAGTCTCTTTGGACTGACATTTGTCTCCACTCAGACGGGTCTCAGACGCGTTGTTTCGCTCCATCCACATAGCCCACGTTTCAGAGATTCACCTGATCAGCGACTGGAGATTGTGAGAGACTAAACACATTGTGGGCTTTTGCTACCTTATATCAACTGATACGATCGGCTGCCTTAGGAGAGCAGTGGTCAGTGAAGCGAAAAGTAAAAAAAGCGGCTCATTAATTCACTCGCAAAAACGCCTCGTGCAACACAGCCTCTGGAGATAGTGCATACGGGCGAATGGAATATAAACCCTAATCGCCCGTCGGAAGAAATAGATCATGAAATATCGGTACTGAAACGTTGGGAGGCATCAGGACCGGACGGTCTGTACCCAGCCCTCCAGAAAATGCGGCAACCCCTGGTGACCCATCTGACAAAGCTAATTGTTGCTATATGGAACGAAGAGAAGGTACCTGCAGAGTGAGACATGTCGACAGGTATTCCTATCTTCAAAATGAGTACGCAAACGCAATGTGAAAACCACTATGGCACTATCCTGGTGGTGTGGCACCGAAGGTACTTTCAAGTCTTAGCCTTCTAAGGTTGCCTGAACACATGGAGAGACATATCCGGGAAATCCAAGCTAGGGCCATCCTGAAAGAGGATGCATCGATCACATCTTCACCCTGCGACAAATTCTGGAACAGCGACACTGCTTACAGCAATCAACAGTGGTTTTCTTTGACTTGAAAGCTGTCTTTGACTCTGTGGACTGCCAGGATGACAGTATCGGTGAAGCGGAAATGTCCCCCATGAATTCTTGACCCTCCTTGAGTCTGTATACCAAATCCTGCGGACGGTAATGTCACGCCTGAGTTCACCACATCAAGTGATGTTAGACAAGGCTGTCCTCTTTCATCTTTCCTCTTCAACTTCCTCATTAATACGAAGTGCTCACGGGGCGTTCGTTCGCTCCCCTTGTATCTGACGCCGTCATAATGCAAACAATGTTAAATAATCTAAATAATTCTGCCTCATAGTTTGGTGCGCGCGTCACACCTGCAAAATGCTGCTGCAAGATTGGGTGGACTCGAACTCTAGTCTCATGCTTGCTGATAAAGCGGTTGAGGAAGCAGACAAGTTTGTTCACATGGGCAGCTGTATCAGTCCCGGTGATCTCTCAAAAGATGACATTTTCATCCGGATCGAGAAAGCCAGAGCACTTTTTGTGAACGTGCACCACCTGTGGCGTAGGCGTGACATCAGCTTATCCGTCAAGCGCCGAGTTTACAGCTATGCGCTCCATATTATTATATAGATCAGAAACCCGGACGCTGCGCAGCGAGAACGTCAAAAGACTTTGAGTGTTTGACCATCGGTGTCTTCGGAACATTATTCGAGTCTGGTGGGAACACCGGATCAGTAATGCTGAGGTGCGTCGAAGTTTTCGGAAGCAATAACTCGACACATGTTGCGCTGCCTTGGTCGCGTGCTCCGTATCCCAGTCGACCGACTTCCTCGAAAGGCTCTTTTCACAGCCACGTGAAGGGTGAATACCATCTAGTGACTTGGTAGCAAAGTACGAAAGCCGATACCGGCAAACAGCTTCGTTGGTCATTCCTGGATGCGGGCCTCGAGAAGGGACACATTATTGGTTAAGGACAGCTCGGTCGCGTCCTCTATGGCGCTCGTGCGTCCAAGTTATTGCCTTCAATTCACAGCTCCCCTCCCAATCTCCCCAGTAAAAGTCCACTGGTGCCCCCATTTACGCACCAATTATATCGGCTACCGCCTCCAATGCGAAGCCATGTACCCCGCCGGCCAAATTATCGCTGAGCGCAAATGTGGCAGCTATAACAACTGTACAACGAGTACGCTGATAGTGAAAATGACTCAGCATCGTGTTTGTTCAACTCTTATGTGAAACCAAGTATTTCATGATTTCAGTGATCTGCACTCAACACTTGATAGCTTCATACGGAAAGCGAACCCAGGATTATCGAAGGCCTGATGAATTTGCAGCGTTCCGCCAATAAACATGTAACCTAAACAACCGCAGCACAGCCTGGTCGTTAGATATTTGGGTGGTGTTTCTTACTTCCACCTGCTCTTGTCCATCTTTCGACCTTCTCCAGTTTAAGTAGAAGAGCAAGTTTTAGGTAGATCAACTTCAGCACTTATGGTTGTCAGCCCAGTAGCCTCAGAACTCATACAGGTCTAAGTAAGGTGTTGCTGAATTTAAAAATCTCTGCAGACTCCCATCCCAGCATTCGTAAGTAGCTTATTTCTGCATTGATGAATCGTTTGAATACTTTCCTCCTTGTGCTCTCCACTTGGTATTTTTGTTCAGTTATTCTATGACATCCGTTTGACACTTTTGCCATTCGTTTATCAGGTCATCAAAGCCTACAGACGTGCGGTGGAGCACCTGTGTAAAGTCCATGGAAGACCATATCCTTATTCTGATGGGAAGTCGGGAGAATTGGCCGTGTTCACCTTATGAAGCGTTTTATTTTCTCCCGTACTGTTTCTTTCCGTGTACAGTGACTTTGTTCTTACTTACTTTTAGGCATGCAACACGGTTCAAGCAAATAGTGCCTGTGCCCTTACTGGTTCCACTTATTTGCTCGATTAACGACCATTAGTGCACCCTTTTCGTGTTGTCATCAAACTCCCCATCAACAAAAATGTGTACCATAGAATCGTGTCCCTTGGGATTGATAAAGTGGCTATGAATCAACATAATTTCCCGTTTTAACCTTTTCCCCATTTCGGGCTTGGGTGAACTAAGTAAGCCTACGATGGCTCTTAAACTCATGCGCAAGCTTTCGATCGGATAGGTTCGTACTTTGGATCTGGTTTCGACTTATTCTGTCAGTAATTCAGTTGTTGCAAGTTAAATAAAAGCACATAACTAACTAAAGTGGCACTTCATAAGAGCTCTGTCTGCGTCAAAGATGGAAGCGTTGAAACCGCGAGCCCCATTGATCTGCAAACAACCGGTCTTCAGGCCACGGAGAGTATGAGTGCAGTAATGATTGGAGGTACGCCGGCTAATTCAACCGAAGAATGCCCATAGATCTGTCAGTATCAGGTTTTTTAAGAGGACTTACGTCCACCAACAGATAGCTGGAATGGATGATAATTGACTGTCTCCAAACGCGAAAAGTGGTGTCGATGGCGCATACCCGCTACTAGTGTAATGGTGGATACTACTGTTGGGGCACGGGAGTAGTATGTTTTCTCGTAAATCCGCTTCGAGTCTCTTGAAAAGTGATATCTATTACGGAATTTGTGAAGTCGCTTTGTAGCATTTGCTTGCATTCGAGTAAGGGGACTGGGCAAATATGCATCCAGTCTACAGCGGCTATTGCCTCTGCAGATCTACCTGAGAGCACAACCATCGCTACATTTATGTGTGCACTTGGAGATAGGGAAAGCAAATACCTCGCCTTGACAGATACCCCAAGCATTAAAGCATGGGACCAGTATGACGCCACGTCACCCAGTCTCATGGTAATAATCCGTGGCACGAAAAATTCACTCTGTTTTTGACTGAAGAGTGGCTCGCAACTTGGTTCGCATCGTTTTTAAGGAGTGTACATCATCGTCGACAGCATGACACCAGTGTTCAACACCGTTGCTTCACTGCCGTACAACCATGATTTATTTGAAAGCCTTATTGTAAAGAAAAGAATAAAGGTGGATGGGGAAGGGACTTGGTGCTAGCTCACCTATACCTCCAGACACTCACTCAGGCGACCTGGATAGAGACTGACAACAAGAAAGCCACTGACATTGGTTGGCAGCCATAGCTTGTAGTGTCTCCGACCAGGCACAGTGAGGATCACGTGGTCCCCATCCCGGAAGCAGAGTAGCATCCAAGCGTTTCGTGATCTTCACACTCCTCTGCCAAGTCAAGGGCCGGCCACCTCTGTTTACGCTAATCTGGATTGGGCATGGAAAACAGCACTCTCTTCGGCAAATGATGGTTCGGCATACGTAACACATGTCCCAACCAACGCAGTTTCTGGTGTCAGGCACATTCCTCAATGGAAACAACTGTTACGCAACCGAAAACGCGCTTTCTAACTGCGTCGTTACGGATTCGCCGAAACCAACCCACACGAGTTATGGTTCTGAGACAACGATTGTCGAGCACCTGAAGACGTCTCGAATAGGCCAAGTCTCACGGCCATACAACAAAACAGCCCGTACTGTAGCTTGATACACACGTCCCTTCAGATTCAGGGATAGACCATTCTGACGCCATAGGTGTCTCAAGTTAGCAAACGCGGCCCGAGCCT